CGAGGGGAGGGAGTGTCTGATCCGGTCCAGCCGTCCGGGCAGACCGAGCTGGAAGGTTCGCGACTTATGGGCTTGTCCCGGGACGGACCCCGCGCAGGCTCGGGAATGTGCATGCGAGGGTGCGTGTGTTAGGAGTGTAGGGGTCTGGACCACTGAGCTCTCTGGACGGGACCCACACGCGGGTCCCGAGCCCCCAACCGGGCTCCTAGCATGTGGGGAGAGAGCCAAGGTCAAGGAGCCTGTGCCAGGTTGCATGCCCGGGAGGCGCCCCCAGTCTGCGCAGAGCCAGCTGCCAGCCGCCTTCCCTCCGGGAGCTGACAGTCTAGACTTGCGCAACCACCAGGACCATTATTAGAAAGAAACCCTTCAGGCGCGGGTTGATCAGGGAGACCAGGCCAGGTACAAGGATACAGGTAGGACTCTGCGTCCCTGCATCATAACTGCAGAGATGAAAGAGTATTCTCTATCCGGCCAGCAGTGAAAGGGGTGAAGTGGGAAGACTCAGAAAGTTTTGCTTTGTGCAGTAGGGGCTAGAAGAGAAAGTGGAAGAAAGGGGAAATCCCCATTTTCTTGCAAGGCACCCTCGTACTTTTATTTTCTGGCACCTACCACATTTTGTAATGAGGCATTGACTGGTATGAGGGGCAGTAGAGCTATCTCATAGCTGTCTAAGAGTGAACTTGCATCAAACTGCCTGGCTTGGATTTCTGGGCAACTCACTGATGAGCTCCGTGACCTTGGGTAAGTCACTTAATCTTTTTTTTTTTTTTTTAGACGGAGTCTTGCACTGTCGCCCGGGCTGAAGTGCAGTGGCACAATCTTGGCTCACTGCAGCCTCCACCTCCTGGGTTCAAGTGATTCTCCTGCCTCAGCCTCCCGAGTAGCTGGGATTACGGGCGCCCGCCACCACGTATTTTTAGTAGAGATGGGGCTTCACTATGTTGACCAGGCTGGTCTTGAACGCCTGACCTCGTGATCCACCCGCCTCAACCTCCCAAAGTGCTGGGATTACATGCCTGAGCCACTTCGCCCGGCTGGGAATAATAATATTACCTACCTCATAGGCCTGTGAGCACTAAATGGGCTAAGGCACTTAGAATAGTACTTGGTACCTAATTAGAACTATGTTTGCTGGGCCGGATGCGGTGGCTCATGCCTGTAATCCCAGCACTTTGGGAGGCTGAGGCGGGTGGATCACGAGGTCAGGAGTTTGAGACCAGCCTGGTTAACATAGTGAAGCCCCGTCTCTACTGAAAATATGAAAATTAGCTGGGCGTGGAGGCGCGCGCCCATAATCCCAACTACTCAGGAGGCTGAGGCAGGAGAATCGCTTGAACCCAGGAGGCGGAGGTTGCAGTGAGCCGAGATTGCACCATTGCACTCTAGCCTACACTCCACAGGATGAGACTTCATCTCAAAAAAAGAAAAGAAAAGAAAAGAAAAGAAAAGAAAGAACTATGTTTACTGTTATTATTTCTTTAATATTTGCCTTCCCACTGAATTGTAGGCTCCAATAAGGTGGGGCCTCTGCACCTTTTGTTCACCATTGTACTCAGCCCCAGACCCTCAGTAAATATTTGTGGGATGACAGAGGGAGATACCACCCCTTCTCCTGTCCCCACTATCACAAGTTGGTGGGACAGAGGCACATAACTGTCTCGATGGGGTACAAACTGGCTGGGCAGGTTCCTGACCTGCCTGGGCAGCTGTCCCCTGAGGCTGAGGCCAGCCCTAACTGGGCAGGGTGAAGCTCAGCCAGAGGCTGCCGCACAGTCTTGATTACAGCAGGACGCCCACTGGGAGTTGGGCCTCCGTCTCGAGCAGGCTCGCTCTGCCAGAGTAGGGGGCTGAGAGGTGTCCCAGCCTCCCAAGCTGCCTCCCTGAGGGGTGAGTGGGGCAGAGCTCTCCAGGAGTGCTCCCCTCCTGTCCTGACCCAACAGCCCTGAGAGCTGCTTTGGGAACCAGACTACCCAGTAGGGGTGATTAGGGAATGGGAGGGCGTGAAGCCCTAAAGCAAAAGCATTAGCAGTTCTCTAGGGAGAAGGGTAGAGAGGGCCAAGGGAAAGGGTAGCAGTGCCAGAACACCATGCCCCACCCCTCCCCAGGGCAACAGGAAGTAAAGTGGAGAGTAAGGCCACTTCCTATCTCAAAGCACCTGGGTGAGAGCCAGGTCCCAAGTCTCAGTGTGGGGTAGGGCAATGAGATTGCGTACATGGAGATGCCAGTAAGTGTTGAGTTTCTGTCATCCATCTTCAAAACAGAAGCAACCACGAATATCAGTTGATCATCAATGTGCCCTTCCCAAGTGCTCAAGGCAACGTGCTTCCTGACCTCCAGGCTGATACTTGAAACTTTCTATTCATGAATGGAAGGTGGAATGAGGAGAGGAAGAGAGGTCAGAACAAGCACAGAAGAGGGCTGCCATGGGGTCCCCTAGGAGTATCCCCGGGCAAATGTAAAACAGGACTACAACCCTGACCAGTCTCACATGCCTGCTGGGAGAGGAACATCATCCCGACTAAGGGGAGGGTTCAACACTAGGTGTTTCGGGGTAACCATATAAAGCATTTTGCACTGTATCTCTAAAAGGTAAAGTGATGAGAAAAATATTGGGGTGAAGCCTCAGGGGTGACTCACAGTACTAGATAAGTGGAGCTAGCTGCTTTTCAACAAATATCACTCCCTACCACAGGTTTGTCACTGCCTTTTACTTTTTGCAACATCCAAATAAAGTAGAAAATTAGAATTCACACAATTAGAAGAAAACTTAATCCATTGTCTTTTTTTTAATTTTCCCCCTGAGACAGGGTCTCGCTCTGTCGCCCAGGCTGGAGTACAGTGGTGCCGTCACGGCTCACTGCAGCTTCAGCCTCCCAAGTAGTTAGGACTACAGGCATGTGCCACCACACTCAGCTAGTTTTAAATTTTTTTGTGGAGATGAGGTCTCACAATTTTGACCAGGCTGGTCTCAAACTCCTAGACTCAAGCAATCATCCTGTCTTGGCCTCCCAAAGTGCTGGGATTACAGGCATGAGCCACCTTGTCCAGCCTCCTTTTTCCTTTGTATCTCTACCTCACTTCTCCCTTCCTCCCTCACTACTTCTGTCAACAGCGCAGCCTCTGACACATCCATAGTGGTGGTTTGGAGCCTATAGATACTTCTGTGTGCACACACAAACACACACCCTCGCACATACACCCTCCTCTATCCCCACTGATGTAGCGCCCA